ACTAACTATCTTTACAATTATAATATATGTGGTGTCAGTGGCACAGCGGTTAGGATGCTCGCCGACCATGCACATGGTCCGGCCACCGACGCACTCCTTTTCATCGCTAAGTCAGAAATAAAGCTGGTAAAGAGGAAAGGTTGGGTATGAGGCTAGCAACTCCATCCCTTAAAAATAAATACCACTGCTACCGAAAATTCAAGCCTCTAGCTTGGAGCTCCACGTTCCACTGGAAACGTGAAGGAATAAAAAAACAATTATAATAAATATGATATAAGACGGCTAAAATTAACTGGTAGAAAGGCTTGATATTCATCAGCGGGGAATATCAGCAACCATGAATGAAACTAATATCCTCTTAGAGACTGAAATCTGCATCATCCGACACTGTAGTCAAAGACTTTACCACGTAGCTGTTCCGGTATGGAGCGACTTACTGCAGGACTGTGAAGGATGTAATGTTATCTTCCTTCGTATTATTGTTATTTGTATATTTATGAAAGCACCAACTTCCGGAATTATGGGAATCAAGATGCACAAACCACACAAAATCTCATAGTCTATGCAATTGCTGTGATGATTCCTGGAAAATCAGAGAGGAGCAGGTGATTGTCTTAAGAGGCGGAACACCCTCCTGATCCTTTGAGTTGAAGCATGATTCATGACTTAGTTGAGCAGAGCCAGGAGATATGCTCTCCATGGTTTCTGGTAGCCAAAACAAGTTCGCATGCTGTTCTATCCCTTCGGATTCTAGGTTTACAATTAGAACTGCTCAGCTCTCTGTCCTAAATCAGCGTGTTCACCGATCTGGTTGTCAGCTCTAGATGTTCTCATTCACTCATACTTTCGTGAGGAACACCTAGCAGATGGTACGAAAACGTGCTCACATGAGAACATTCTAGGCTGAAGACCGATGTTTACCTACTATGGGTCGTAAAAAAGCTGTTTTTATTCATTAGTACTAACTGGAATACCTCAGAAGCTAAGGATACATACTGCTAACAAGTAGCAGTGTGCAAAATGACTGAATCCGAGCCTTTCTACTGATTGCCTTCAACTACTTTACATCAATTCAAAGTGCAACACCATGGCTGTTTCCTTAACTGGTCAATCACGCTACAGAGATAGCTGACACGGCTGAAACAACGAAGAACACTAGATTGAACATAGCAATGATTATTTCCTAACGACTAACGAATATAAAATAAAACTCTGAATAATTTAAAAATCCCTATTCCTGGACAAGAACAACAACAACAGATAACGATCAGCATAAATGGAAGGAACCTGAAAGAAACAACCTCGTTCTCCTACCCACCTGGGAAGCATCGTTTCAACTACATGCGGACGGAACTGACGAGGATATCAATGCAAGAATCGGAAAAGCAAGACAAGCTTTCACTACTCTCAAGTCTGTGTGGAGGTCAACAGCACTACTCAGCATAAAAAATAAGATCCGGATTTTCAACTCCAATGTGAAGTCAGTGCTACTTGCTATACGGATCAGAGAATTGACGCGTCATAAAGAGCATCTCAAACAAATTACAGACCTTCATCAACAGCTGCCTTCACTCAATACTCAAGATCACATGACCCACCAGAAAAGATTAGCAATAGGGAGGGATCTTTGGCAATGAGCTAACCAACCCAGCAAGAACCGAATGTGCAAAAAATATGCAGGAAGAAATGGAGATGGATTGGCCATACTCTGAGGAAACCATCAAGTGACATGACTAGATAAGCCCTTGAGTGGAACCCGAACGGGAAGTGGCGAGTTGGTCGCCCAAGGATGACTTGGAGGAGGTCATGTGAAGAGGAGATGAACACGTGTGGGCAGACTTGGAGCCAGGTGAAGACTCTAGCAGAGAACCGAACGCAATGGAGACGCACGGCTGAAGCCCTATGTTCCTGTAGGAATTAAAGGAAGCAATAATATACAATAATAGTAATTTAAAAATCCCAATAGTATAATCAGAACATAGTGATTTTGAGCGAACAACTGTCGTTTCGATAAATTCTTCCTCAAGCTCTACATTTATACATCCATGAATATTAGAATGCATGTATAATATGGAATGACAATCCGTTATTTAATATTTTTAAATTAACCTATATAAAATATGCAGTCATTCAGAACATAAGATAAAGGGTGAATAGATGGAGGATTTCACAATGAGCTGACATCAGTTAGAGAATCAATGGAAAACCTGGGAGTACTGGACAGCTGAAATCCTCTATCCAGTCAAACGAAATCTGTACAAAACCAATACTTGAAAATTCATCTTGTGCTCACTAGCTACTGACCCTATTCAGGCAGTGACCTGGGGTTCTATTGAGAAGCCATGAGCAGTAGGAAGCAGCAGGTTGAAGATGAGGCAGTAACTTACCGAAGAATAAGACATTGCGAAGTGGTCGCGCTATGTTATGAATTGGTAGAAGTTAGAATTCATGGGCTGGCTGGCCATTGGATCGGGTCCCAGTGGCTTAATGGTCTGCGAGCTCGCTGGCCTGGTAACCAGAAGGTCCTGATTTCGAACGCTGGAGGTGGGTGCGTACTGTTGAAGAGACCAAAACTAGGACGAAACAGCTGTCCAGTAGTTCCAGGTTTTCCAGTGGTTCTATAACTGATGTCAGCTCATGATGACATCCTTCATCCAATCAAACAAACAAAAAATCGCTACAAAACCATTACGTGAAAGTGTGAATAGACCAATCGGTGACTCACTGTCGTATTTATAGTCAACAGAATATAGGTTTCATTTGAAGGTGGGATAGGGGATGAGTTATATTCAGTGGTGTGCAAGGGAAATGATTACTACAAAATGCATACAAACAAATATCAACAACCAATGCGGAATACTGAATGTGTGTTCAAGCAACGACTGATAGATATCAAGTGTAGTGATAAAATAAAGAGGTTAGAGTGTGAACTGTAATCAAATACTGGAGACAAAAGGTTGATACATCATAAAGGCAATAATGGAGTCAAGTAAACCAGGTAAAAAGGCATAGGAAAGGCGTAATATGACATAATCAAGCATATTTTCATGTAGAACCTGAGGAATTTATCTAAACCATAGTTGTTCGCTCAAAATCACTGTGTTCTGATTATACTACTAGGATCTTTAAATTATTCGAAGTTTTATTTTATATTCGTTAGTCGTTGGGAAATAATCATTGATATGTTTTATTTAGTTTTCTTCTTTGTTTCAGACGTGTGAATTACCTCTGGGGTGTGATCAACCAGTTAAGAGAACGGCCATTGTGTGAAGCAGTTGAAGGCAATCAGCAGAAAGCCTCATATTCAGTCATTTTGCATACTGCTACTTGTTAGCAATGTGTATCCTAAGCTTCTGAGGCATTCAAGTTAGTACTAATGAATAAAAACAGCTTTTATACGACCCACAATAGGTAAACATCGGTCTCCCGCCTAGAATGCCCTCATGTGAGCACGTTTTCGCACCATCTGTCAGGTGTTCCTCACGAAACTATGAGTGAATGAGAACATCTAGAGCTGACAACCAGATCGGTGAACACGCTGATCTGTGACAGAGAGATGAGCAGTTTAAATTGTAAAACTAGAATCCGAAGGGATAGAATAGCATGCGAACTTGTTTTGGCTACCAGAAACCATGGACAGCATAGCTCCTGATTCTCCTCTAATACCTCATGAATAATACTTGAGGTCAACAGATCAGGAGGGTGTTCCGCCTCTTAAGACAACCACCTACTTCTCTCTGGGCGTCCGGGCAGTATCACAGCAATTGCACAGACTATGAGATTTTGTGTGGTTTGTGCATCTTGATGTCCATAATTCCGGAAGTTGGTGCTTTCATAAATATACAAATAATAATAATAATACAAAGGAAAATAAAATTATTTCCTTGACACTCCTGCAGTAAGTCAATCCATACCGGAACAGCTATGTAGTGAAGACTTTGACCGCAGAATTAGATGATGAAGATTCCAGTTTCTAAGAGGATATTAGTTTCTTTCAAGGCAGTGTATATTCTCTGCTGATGAATATCAAGCCTTTCTACCAGTTACTTTTAGCCATCTGATATCATATTTATTATAGTTGTACAGAGAATTAATCAGACGAAATTAGGATAGTTTGAGAATCTTTGACGCTTTCGCTTTCTCTGTCCTATCATTAATAATGAGTTGAATTTGTGGAAAGATGTTCATATGTACAACTCGAGGTGGATTTAGAATCTAGGTCCGATGCATGTCCCACTATTGATTGCGGAAGTGTTTGAATTGAAGAATCTCTGAGAACATGCAGAGAGTAGTAGATAACTGTGTTGTCCTACTTCACAAATATTCAGTAGTAGGCACCCATGACCTTGCCGAGGATCGAACCCACCACCATCGGGTTAAAAGGCAAACGCTATGAGTACTCAGCTACTTGGATGATAATTTGCGATATATAGCGTGAACACCAGCCAGTGTCTCCGTATTTGAGTATTTGTCCTCATATATGATATGATAGAATTGCTCTTATCGCTTTCTGACAACACATCCAGGAAGAATGATGTCGGCATCCATCTACTGCCTTGAGTGCAACTGGATGTACAATTCTCACTAGTCTCTACCTACTTTCTCCTACATTATTTATTTCACTAATTTATATAATATTAATAAGGATGATGTACACATTCTCCCGGTTTTCCTTAATAATCTCTATAGCTTCCACTACAGTTAAAAGATGCAATCCTGTGCCTTCAGGCAGATTGTTTGGTAGGCATTATATAACCGTAAATGGCTCATGTATTTTGATGTGGTGTTCACCACCTACTAGATGAGACAATATGGCACTAATTATTGATCTGGTTACACTTTTTCCACGCCAAACAGGAAAATGTTCACGAGCATGAAAGGATAAATTCCTCTGAGTTCGACTTATATAACTAGCTGTACATTAGCAAAACTTTGAATATTACGCCCAAACTTTGGAAATATCTCACAATTAACCTTTAATCTTATTTTTACCATTCTAGCTTCCATTTTCAACACGCGTGGAACACTTGATTGCACCTATGGTTGGACTTGGATTTGCTATAGGTTAGTTGAAAAAAAGAGATAGCTACTTTTAAATACTTTTTTATCCTTTCATATTTCAAGTGAACCTCTAGACATTTTTAATCATCGAAGAAAGGATGGTGAAGTTCAACACTAGCGTCTCAGGAGTGTGAACGCTCCAGTGACTTTGAATTCATGCTAGTCGTTGCCTAAAGGCACCTGTCATTATCACAGCTGAAGCATCAACGCTATTCACCAACTAAGCAGTAAATTTCACCCAGATCACGTTTTTAAGTACTGTTTGGACAATATGTTAATAGCTCGTTAGGGTTACGATCCGGGGTTAAGATAATTATTGGCGGGTAAGGGTTAGGAAAAGGGTCATAATTACGATTCAAGTTAGGTTTATGGTTAGGGTTACGATTGTGGATAGATCTAGAGTTGATGTCATTTATTTTAATTTGTTTTATTATCTACATTTTCCTGGTAAGTATTCGTCGATCCTCTTAACATGAAACCATAGTAATTCAGTTAATCTTCAGTCACCTCGGTGAATACATGTACAGAAACTAGTCTAAATTAGCAACTGATACTCCTCATTATAAATGGGACGTATTTTTAAGCCATGTTAGAGAAAGATACCCTATTTAATTTGTTTTCATGCATCATTTTTGTGCGAAAATTCCGCATTTTTATGACTGGTCGGTTCAAGGTCACTCGTGAGTTTACATCCCTTGAGATGCTATTGTTGAACTTTAACAAAATCCACGATATCCAGTTGAAAGTTTATTTTGAGACTCGAAGACATAAATGAAGAACAGTTATCTTATTTACTGGAACACGTCACCACCCACAATCAGGGCATTCCTCAAATTTAGTAGGAACTTGAGAATCAGGACTTTGTAAACATTTCATATACCCATGAGAGTAAATTTTACCATTAGAAGTAATATTTTAATCGATTAGAATAAAGAGAACGAGAGAAAATATGTGCAACAGAGTTTGATTTACGAGGTTGCCTTGTAACCAAAAGGTCCTGGGTTCAAAACCCGATCACTGGGTGCTTACTTATGAAGAGTCCCAAGCCAAGACAAAACAGATGTCCGGTACTGCTGGCTTTTCCAGTGGTTCTCTAACCGATATCAGCTTATGAAAAAATCCTGTAACCAATCAAATAAAATCCCCACAAACCATTACTTAAAAATTGATCTGATGCTCACTAGCGACTGGCTTTAATCAGGTAGGTAGTCACCTGGGGTTCTAGTGGGAGGTCGTGACCAATAGAGTGCAGTGGATTGGGTATGAGGACATATACTCGCCGAAGACATTGGCTATTGGTTGTTGTGTGTCGTAAATTGGTAGAAGCTGGAATTCATGGACTGGCTCGCCACTGGATGAGGTCTCAGTGACTTAATGGTCTACGAGCTTGCTGGCCTTGTAACCAAAAGGTTACAGAGAATTTTTCTTTAAATTATCTCTTCTTAATTAGTAGCATGAAACTTCACTGCATAGGTAGGGATGGTTATTTAGGATATCGGATGTGAAATAAACAAGAGTCCCCTAATAGAACAAAGTGGCCTACCAGTACTCCTTGACTCTGAATGATTGTCTACCCGATATCAGTTGGTGGTGAAATTTGCTTCAAAGCCAAATTTCTGGATATCATCAATATTCAGGATATCTACTATTACTGAAGAGGGTAAAGTTATCTTGACAACCACCTGACAGGACGTCTGTTGGCTGATTTATTTCCCCCTACATGTATATACATGAGATTCATTTCCAATTTTTTGCTTTAAACATGGAAAAGTGGTATTTCTTAAAGCGAATTTTCATCTCTCATATTCTGTTTTCACAGTAATAAATCTCTTATTTCTCCCCTTCATATGTTAAGGTATGGTGGATTCCTCTATGATGCCGCTAATGGGACATTTAGTCGATTTAAGGCATACTGCAGTATACGGCAGTGTTTATGCAATTGCAGATGTAGCCTTCTGTGTTGGATTTGTATTTGGTATGTGTTTTGGCTGTCTTTAAAAGAAACTATTCAGTTATTCTTCATGCTAATGTTTTTGTCATATTTTGACGTACAAGTACTGATTGTATACATTACTAGTTAAAGCTATATTATTATTATATATTATTATTATTGTTCCCTTGGGTTCCTAGTGCAACATAGGGCTTCAACTGCACGTATTCACTTGCTTCTGTCTTCTGCTGTACTTTTCACCTGCATCCATGTTAGTCCATACTGTTTCAACTCCTCTTCACACGATCTCCTCCATGTCACCCTTGGACGTCTCACTCGCCGCTTCCCTTTCGGGTTCCACTCGAGCAATGGCCTGACGCGTGTTGTCACTCAGTGACTTCCTCAGCGAGTGTCCAATCCATCTCCACTTTCTCCTCCATATTTGTTGGGCGATTAGGTCTTGTTTTGTTTGTTCCCATAGTTTCTTGTTGGCGATTCTTTCCAGCCATCTGATCTCCAGTAAAGAACGAAGACAGTTAGTTGTTGATAAAGGTCTGCAACAGGCTGTTGGAAATATTCTTTGTGACCCGCCAAGTTTCTGATCCGTACGTTTAGAAGAACTGACTTGACGTTTGTATTGAAAATTCGAATTTTGTTGTTGATGCTGAGTGACGAAGATTTCCAAATTGGCTATGGATTATATATATATGTCCAAAACAATTTCACTTTTAACAGTTTAAAACAAAATTTGGGCATTGGGTATATGATATTCATTATAATAAAGGTTTTATTTGTATTTTCCGATGAATGAATGAAAAACAAAACGATATTGTCGTTATTTTTACTGACGTTTCGCTATTTAATACTGCGGTTTATAGCTTTATCAAAGTATTATTAAACCAGAATTTAAAAAACCTCAGCATATATATAACAAAGAGTTAAGAGAAAAATAGGAAGAAATATCAAACATTACTGAAACTCTCAAGCAAAACTAACTACCCAAGGAACTTCATCAACAAAATCAACACTGACATTATGTATGGTCGAAAAGGCATTCCGAAAACATGGACCTCAACAGTTGTCAGTCATTCCATATACAGCAGAGACGTCAGACAATATCAGAAGAGTACTCAATCAACTCGACATTAGAGTTTTCTTCAAAACATCAGACTCACACACTGCGAAGCAACCTTGTCCATATAAAAGACCAAATCCCTAAAGATTCTCTATCTAATTGTGTTTATAAAATAAAATGCTTGGAATGTGATGCGATATACATCGGACAAACCTCGCTAGGCAGAAATCAAGATCAAAAGAAATGAACACCGTAAGCCGCCTCTATTCGACCACCAAGAAATCCAGTTGGACTAGAAAAGCTTGTAAAATCATCAGCTATAAAATCGGGTCAAAAAAATGATTTTGACAATATTGAAATCATTATCCAGAAAAATTCTAGAAATCACAAAGAACGTCTAATATCAGAAGCACTTCATATCAAGTAGAATCCAAATTGTCTGAACTGAATAGGAATGATGGACTAAAACAGAATTTGACCTGGTTACAACACCTCCCTTCCCCATGAAGTCGCAAAATTAACACGAATGTGACAAGCAATGTCATTGTATAATCACACACTGTTTTATAATTTTACACACTTATCAAATTCAACAATCTACACTTGGTTTTGTTATCTTTACCAATTGGCCAACTGGAGAACGCGAAAATGATCCCATGCTGAGGAACGATGATCAAGTTAGTAAACTGTGTTTTGATACCATAACAGATGTACTGTTACCTTTGTTATTTGGTTTAATGATCTTCCTTTGTTATTTTGACTTTCAATATGTCCTTTTAACTTGACCTAAGAGTCTATTTTCTCACCTCTTAACTCTTTGTTATATATATGCTGAGATTTTGTAAATTCCGGTTTAATACTACTTTGATAAAGCTATTAGCAGCAGCATTAAATAGCGAAACATCAATAAAAACAATATCTTTGTTTCTCATTCATTGGGAAATACAAGAAAACCTTTATTATAAAGCTATGAATGTTTATATCTAATATCATCTTACTTAACATTTCAGGCATTATTGGTCAAGCAATTTACCTCCAGCTTAAGACTATCTACTATCACTGATGATTTTCTTGATTGTGGTCAACAGGTAGCGAGAAGAAAGGCATACGTTGAAATGACAAGCAGACTGTAGTACATCTGGACTCTGCGGATAATTTATGTCTAATAGCATACAAACTCGAAAATCTACAGGTGACGAAGATACCAAATGAACTGAAACAAGCACCAATCACTATCGACGAGAGAAATATGAAAGAGGTCACTTCTCCCACTTGTCTAGGCAGAATTGTTTTAACTACAACCTGAATGGATGAATGAGAATGTCAAAGTCAGGCAGGATCGGAAAGCGTAGACCGACCTTCATCACTCCGGAATCAGTCTGAGAATCTATTGTACTCAGATCTAGGAACGCACCACGTGAACTATTCCTAACAGGTTACTGCAGACTTTTATCAGCAAGAGCCCTATTCGCTGGCTCTAGACTGGAGATGAGATGGCTGACTGACCAGAAAGAATTAGCAGCAAGGAAATCACAAAAACAAAGCAATCAAGAACTTATTGGTGAATAAATATGCCGAGGAAAAAGGATACGAATGGAAGATATGCACAGGAGACGGTTGAGTGACGTCACCAGCCGGCAGACCATCGAGTGGAACCTGAGTAGGAAAAAAGGTTGACAGGGAGGAGATTATGCGAGGAAGAGATGAAATTTAAAACAAGCAATAAAGGTCAATAAAGCAGGATGATTTAATGAATTTATCAGATTTCGGTAGAACTCTTCCTCAGCTGACTACTCCACATACACGGATATATATATACTTTTGAAATTACATTGGGAGATATAAGACTGATAAGTAAATAAACTACATTGAATTAGTCACGCAGAAAGACAGGTGCGAATGTTTTTCCAGGTCATGTTCAATTAGATAAGGGGAGAGAGAGTATGGGAGATCAAAATGCGTCGGTGGCATAGTGGTTAGGACTCTTGCCGACCATGCACATGGTCCGGGATTCGATCCCCTGCCGACGCACACCCGATATCTATGGTCGGCCTGCAAAATTCGGGCTACCGATATCCATGCTGAAAATTCCATACTTGTACTGAAAATACGGTGTGAAATCAAGCTGTAATCAAAAATATAAAAATATATATATAAATATAAGATAAATTGCATTACGCTTCAATTACATCACTTAGATAAACAATTAGACATTAGAGAATTTAACAAGAATTGCAACCAGAGGGATGTCAATAGCAATAGCTATAATAACAATAATAATAATAGTGTTGTAGTGAGTTAAGATAATCCTACTGATAAAGGATAGTTTTAAATGAATCAAGAATAATACTAATAAGAGGTAGAATAATAAGTAAAACGTATTACCATGGTAGATTCAGAGTCACGACCATCTCCTTTTGTACAAAGAGACCTGTTTTATAAACTCGAATTGCACAAGCCTCTGCAATTGCAAGCATCTTCCTGTTTCTTTGTCTGCTGACAATAACAGTGAATGACTTGACAGAGTTGATATCATGTCCATAGCCCAGAAGATGTTTTGTTATTGAGGTTTCTAGCACTTTGCACTTGTTATATTCTCTAATGTCTAATTGCTTATCTGAGTGATGTAATTGAAGCGTAATGTAATTTATCTTAATTTTGATCTCCCATACTCTCTCTCCCCTTATCTATCTAATTGAACATGACCTGGAAAAACATTCGCACCTGACTTTCTGCATGACTAATTCAATGTAGTTTATTTACTTATCAGTCTTATATCTCCCAATGTAATTTCAAAAGTATATATATATCCGTGTATGTGGAGTAGTCAGCTGAGGAAGAGTTCTACCGAAATCTGATAAATTCATTAAATCATCCTGCTTTATTGACCTTTATTGGTTGTATTAAATTCGTGTCGGGAGATAAATTTTTTCAATTTTTGAAGAGATCATAGCCTATAGACAACCGTGGAGCCAGTCAGAGACGACTGTAGATAACAGGATGAAATGAGTAAATGGTTCTGCTGAAGCCTTATGTTCCACATCGAGCTCAAGGGAATAATGATAATAATAATAATCATTTATTTCCCAATGATTGTCAGCGAATGTTTTTAATAATCGATTTTTAAGCATCACTTTCGTGAGTTACTTAAATTTTTAGGTATGCTACTAGTTTCAACTAAGCAAAACTGAATTTGATCGTACTGAGTGAACTCCAGAGACATTGGTTAGAGAACCATTGGAAACCAGCACAGGATTACTGGACAGCTGTTTCGTCCTAGTTTGAGACTCTTCACAGTATGCACCCACAGGGTTTCGAACCCAGGACCTTCTGGTTAGAAGGCAAGCTGGTGGACCATTGAGCCACAGGGACCCAATCCAATGGCCGGCCCATGAATTCTAACTTCAGCCAATTCATGACATAGCGCGACCACTAGCCAATGTCTTTGGCGAGTATTTTTCCTCACACCCGACCTGCTGCGCCATCCTGGTCACAGCTTCTCACTAGAACCACAGGTAACTACCTACCTGAATAGGGCAAGTCGCTAGTGAGCTATTTATTATTGCTATTTATAAAACTAGTTGACTTTTCAGTGGCGTAGTAGACATAATGGGCATTTCGGTTGAAAAAATCAATATACGGAAAATCCTGTCCCACTCAAATTCAGACTGACTTGTTCAGTCTATAGATGGTATGGTCGGACTGGGAAACTTATTCATCGATACTCATCATTTCAGTCACATGTAGGGTTGAAACTGATTTAGGTAACAAAGGTCACACATTGGCCTCATTAAATCACAAACTGTGGTGTTTGAGTGCTATGACAGAATTTGCCTCTATCTGAGTCAACCAATTAAATACAGACAATATTCGCCACTCTACCCGAAAATTCAGACACTACTCGGACATCTCCACAAACCCTAGATATTCAATAATCAATCACTAGTGATAGAAGAGAATTAAGTCCCTTCAAAAATTTCATACATTTGGTTCCCTTGATAAATTTCGACGGAGGAAGAAAGACCAAATTAGCAGTATAAAATGGTGACATCATTCTGCTTCACATGTTCTCATCAGCTGAACGCCACTACCTCAAATTACAATGGTTATAAATAATAATAGTGACATTTCATACTTCAATGTTTGAAAAGTAATAGAGAAAACATTATAAGATGAACGCATCCGGAATATAAGTATTACAGTTTGCTTTAGTTTAAGTCACCATCAATTTATATGCTTTCAAACTATGAAAGAAAGTAGCGAGGATGATAGAACACAGAAAACAGAAAAATCTAATAAACAGTGTTAGCTTGTGCGTCGATGGCACAGTGGTTAGGACTCTCGCCGACCATGCACATGGTCCGGGGTTCGATCCCCTGCCGGCGCACACCCGATATCTATGGTCGGCCTGAAATTGGGCTACCGATATCCATGCTGAAAATTCCACACTTGTACTGAAAATACGGTGTGGAATCAAGCTGTAAATCAAAAAAGAAAATCAAAAAAACATCAAATAACTAATAGATGTTAGTAACAAGATATCCTAGTTTTGAAGGAGGGGTGAAAACTGATTAATCACGGAATTCAAGATAAGTTGATTATTAGGCGTCAGCAAAAAGTTATTAAGTAATCAAGAAATTCGGAAAATACCGTTGATGACTAAGGAGAATAGGATGACTCAGAACAATTACGTAAATACAAACAAATTAATAGAATTGGCTAGAATTGTAAACATAATAAAGTAACAAAGTCAAAAGATAGTTACAAGGGGAAGGGGAGAAAATCGTTTTTAGAAACTTAATACATATTATGTAGTTGGTCATGGCAAAGAAAAGGACTGTACAAATTCCTTTCGAATACACAGATTTGGCTTGTTCAGATGAAATTCCCATTACCTCTGCTATATGTATGTAAAAGTCGTACTCATAGAACATGCGAGAGGTTAGGTGAAATACGATAAATAACTTTAAAAGCTTTGCTACATTCGACTTGATGTCCATGTTCATGTCGATGAGATGAGGTAGTATCAAGCTGCGTATAGTAGCTTTATTCGGACCTTTGCCAAACCAAGATTGGAGGTATTCAGAAATTCGACAATGGACTTGCCTGGTCCTACACCTAATGTAACTAGTTCCGCACGAGGTGTTAAACTGGTAAATACACGTATGGAAGAGGCGAAACAGGGCAGTCTGTCTTTATCTCTTGAACTAAGTGTTGGTTGGTTAGTTAATATACAGCACATTTCTCCGGAAACTACTTTGAGAATTCCGAATTGTGTGTAGACATAGTTTTCAGAATAAAGCTATTAACATTACTAATATTTCCTGATCTCTTGACTATAATTTTGACAAGGTTGGCAGGTTTCTTGTGTTAAGCGGCAATTTTGTCTGCAGGGACCACAATAACTCACTGGTTTATCCTGTTTAAACTGAATAACATCGTGAATCAAGTATGTGTCACAGCTTCGCATGAACTAATTACTATGCGTGCAAACTAGGGCACTAAAACAATTCTTATTATATATTCATACTACTATATATCTATTTAAGTAAGCTACTCACAAAATAAAAAACTACCATTTGCTTCAACTGTCTTCAGTTCACTTATCAGAAATTGGTGAAGACGACATGAAAAGGCGAATACTGGAACCTACTTTGTCTCCTTAATTTACATTACTTCAGTTGTCTTTCTCCCGGCAGATAAGCACTTTTCAAACTTTCGAATCTACAAGGATTTCTTTATGTCAAAAGATGAGCAGTAGAAAGAAAAAAGTAGACAAAGTGAGGAACTTGGCTAAGCAGTCTTACGTAATATACAGACACGGAATGATGAATATCGCTCAGAAATGAGTACCATTAAAACTACGAGCTCTTGAAAACAGGAATCTTTTTCATAAGAGTAAGAAATTCAGAATACAAATGGCTGACTGATGAATAAAGAATATTCTTCGAGATAATTTATTCTTCATCACGTCCTACACACATATGATAGTAATAATTAGAGAATCTTCAAGTATTGGTTGCGTAAGGATTTTGTTTGAATCACTATAGGATTTCATCATGAGCTGACATCAGCTGGAGAAACATTGGAAAACCACCAGGGAGTACTGGACAGCTGTTTCGTCCGTCTAGTTTGGGACTCTTCATCAGTACGCATCCACTGATCAGGTTTCAAACCCAGGACCTTCTGGTTACAAGGCAAGCTCATGAATTGGCTCATGAAGTTAGAATTTATGGGCTGTCCATTGGATAGGGTCCCAGTGGCTTAATGGTCTACGAGCTAGCTCACCTTGTAACTAGGAGGTCCTGGGTTCGAACCCTGGTCAGTGGGTGCGTACTGATGAAGAGCCGCAAACTAGGACGAAATAGCTGTCTAGTACTCTCTGGTGATTTCCGATGGTTCTCTAACTGATATCAGCTCATGATGAAATCCTCTAAGCAATTATACCATATGAATTTGATTTATTCCAACTCACTAATCCAGAACAGAATATCTTCAGTCTTTAATCGGACTACCAACCATAGTTGTTGAGGGAAGACTGATCACCTCTGCCTAGTTGCCAAAGCTAAAATAGGCGGAGTGAGTTTGCGATCCTGGACTGACTGATAAGAAGTCAAGTGGTTAGTTCAATTAACTAAACAAAATCCACTGGATAGTAAGTATCTGCGTACTGCTTCCAGTATTTTCTGATGTCACGTGATGAAACCACGCGAAAGCAGACTCATTCAGAATCTGTAACGTTTGCTTTCCAAATAACCCTGCTGCAAGGTAGTTCTATTAAAATATCTATTATTATTACTGTTATTTCCCTACACCATAGTAACCTTATATGCTTGAAGCACTTTAGAACCCTTCTTAACGAAAACACATTTTGTCTCTCACTTTGTAGGTTTACATAAATCGTTGCTGAATGTACGAATTAGTGTAATCTGTGAGTTGGTTGTAGGCGATCGGCAGGAAGCCTTGAAACTTGTTTTCATGCTCGTTAACACTCACTCGTCAGCAAGGCGTATCTTCAAGGAACTCATGCTCCCTCCTCCCGAGATTCTAACCAGTTTCCACCCAGTGCTACACAGTCAGAGACGTTACCACCGAGTCATTTGGGCTAGCGGTTGACCTCCAGTAGAGAAGTGTGTTGGATACCTTGACTGAACACTAGTCAATAACTAATTTCATGCTTCTAGTCCTTTGTCTGGTGTGGAGTGAATCCTATCAGAATGAAAGAAACCTCCGAACTGGTTTCCTCTCAGAGATTCAAACCTACAGTCGGAAACACTACCAATGAGCCTTTTTCAGTTGTATTTTCAAGTATTGGCTTTTGTAGGGAATATTGTTTGATTGGTTGGAGGGAAGCCGTGACCAGTAGGGTACAGCAGGTTGAAGGTGAGGCAGTAACTCATCGAAGAAGAAGACATTATGAAGTGGTCGCGCTATGTCAAGAATTGGCAGAAGTTAGAATCTGATAGGCTGGTCATTGAGTCAGGTCCCAATGGCTTAACGGTCTACGAGCTGGCTCGACTTGTAACCAGAAGGTGCTGGGTTCGAACTCTGGCTGTAGTGGATACTTACTGCTGAAGAGTCCCAAACTAGGTTGATGAAACAGCTGTCCAGTACTCTTTGCAGGTCTTCCAATTGTTCTCTAAATGATGTCAGCTCATGATGAAATCCTCCAACTTTTCAGTTGTGACTAACCTCCAGTAGGACTGTAATGTCTACATGCATTGGTATTTGTCTTGTAACTAATATCGTGTGTTTGATTCTTATTCAGGTGCTATTCAGCTGTAAATTTGGGCAGTTCCTATAATTATCATTCTTGTTATTATTATTATTATTATTATTATTATTACTAACATTTTCTCGCCAATGGTATCTTTTGTCTTTTGAATTATTTAGGACCATTACTCAGTACTGCAATGTTGAAAGTCTTAGGCTTTAACTGGTAAGTGAAATTAAACAAAAATTTAGTCAGAAGATTTTGTTCATACTTTTATCTTACTTAGAATGCGAATAATTTTGCTTTATTTTCATTCTAAGTCGGAATTCAAAAATATGTGGTTGGGAGTGATTTCCAGTCATTCCTTGAATGCAATCAGACTGTCTGAAAAGTTATTGATCACAGTCACTACATAACAAATGGGGCAATCGGAAGTGAGCTATGAACCTAGGTTTCGTGCTTGTTATAACCCAATGATGAGCCCAACTCCAAACGAGCGAAACCGCCATCGTAATATTATCTGGCTGATTAGTGAGCCCCACTGTTTGATGTGACTGGTATACAACTTCGCATGGCCAATTGAAACTTCAAGCACCACTAAATACCAACCAGTGAATGACCTTGAATAGTCCAATGACTTTCATCCACGTGAGTTGAAGGTTCTATTCCGCTTGATTCGAGTCAAATGCCTGATCTAACGCAGTTGCGCTTGATGTTTGGTGAGGATAAGGTTTCCCAGTATTGCTTGGATGTGGAAATGTCATGAGTGTTAAAAGCTTTAGCGGTTCGATTGATATTGATATTTCCATTGTTGTGCAATTCGTTTGAGACGAGTTATTGTCAAGGAAGGTAGGCTGATGATTCGCAGGAACAATTTTCTGCCATTTGCTATCTGTCCTTAACCCAGATTTTGTAATATTCGTAATTACTGGGTTTTAAAACAGCCTGTGACAGGGAGGTGCAGCTGCTGTAACTGAAAATAGTCTCGTATCAACAGTTCAGTGCTACCAGCACCGCAGGGATAACACATCCTGAGAAATGAAGAGGCCTACTTCGTTATTGGGACAAGAAGGTGTCGTCATACATGTGGATGAAACTGTCTTATTAACCTTAGTCGAGAACGATCGAATAGTGTTTGAGTGATTGGTTTATATGATGCCTCTCTACGGAAAGGATTCGTCGAGAGGATATCAGATAGAAAATTAAGTACTTTAATACCTAACATTACTCGACAGGTGAAATAAGGATCTATAATACACACAGAAGAGTGGAAAGGTTATAACTCCTGGTCATCCCTTGTGTATATTCACCACAGGGTCAACTATTCCAATGATTTTGTGGATCCACTTACAGGGACACAAACGAATTCCATAGAAGGATATTGGGGAAGATAAAAAAAATAGGATTAGGGTCAGGAATGCATCTCTAAAGGATGTCAATTATAGTCATTTGGATGAATATATGTACAGATTGTGGTGTAACTTTTCTGTTGACACTCGTATGCTAAACTGGAAGATGTTCCTGTCACATGTTAGGGAAAAATACCTTATGTAACAATTTTATGCAGGTTTTTTATGCTTTTTTGCATGAATATACGCTTACCTTACCTTCATGTGATTGGTCCGTTGAAGATCGTTCGCTGATTGGTAGTTAGTGGTGCGCAAAGTTTAACTTTGCCCTTCTCACCTCATTCAATAAATATTATATCGCTTTAAGCAGTTATGCTTACCCTCTTGATTGCCATTTATTGTGTCAAATAGATCATATACTGTGGTGATTTGAATAATCTTTGTTTCCAACGGAAACCGTGGTGAAATTTAACCTCCTCTAATTGCGCAACAACAATTGTGACTATTGGTTTAAGCCACAAAGGGTACCTGCCTATATGAGGTCTCTGTTATTATTATTGTTGTTCCCTTGGGTTCCTAGTGGAACATAGGGCTTCAAATGCACGTCGCCACTTGCTTCTGTCTTCTGCTGTACCTTTCATCTGCATCCATGTTAGTCCATACTGTTTCAACTACTCTTCACACGATCTCCTTCATGTCATCCTTGGACGTCCCACTCGCCGCTTCCCTTTCGGTTTCCACTCGAGCACTGGCCTGTCGCGCGTTATCATTCGACAGCCTCCTCAACCTCACCTACGTTGCTAACTCGCTAGTTTTCTAACCTGTCCCAAGACCGCGTAAAGAGGGAAGTTGGGGTGTGGGGCTAGCGACCCTAACCCAGAAAATCAATCAAACTGCTACAGAAACTTCAACGTACAGTAAAATTATTAAAAATACAAATATAAGTAATGGTGAGGCTGATTTAGCCGCACTGGATTGCCATTCAGTAATGGCTGAAGGCGAACTAAAGATAGTATTCAGATCAAAGGTCATTGGATTTCAACTTCCCTTATCACTTGATTTCAGTTTTCACATAATTGATAAAGCATTTATGAAATTCTCTATAAAAATTTCAACTTAACTAACTACACAGATTTTCAAGATTAACAACACGTTTCGTTTTTTGGTTCAGTTTTCATTTTCACATGTTTGACCTCTGTTGACATGTCAGGACTTGGTAACTGATGCCTGTGACATAAGAGGTGGTTCTCTTGGCCCAAGTGAATTAGTGGATATCTTTCTTGCATTTGAAACGATGGGTACTGGGTTTGAGTCCCGCTAGTAAATCTGTCACTCATTGGTAACGCAGGTACATGCAACTGACGAGTCTCAAATGGGATGAAATGCCCATCTTAGATTCCACACTGCTAATCTCTATGGACCAAAAATAATTAAATGAAGATTTGTGGTTATTTTCAAAACCTGGAGAATGACTAAAGGGGAATAAATACATCTGCATCGCTTTGAATTGTTTTGAATTGTGTTACAAGAAGTCTCCAACAATTCTTGATTCTTGACAACTTAGAGACCTCAGGAGTCAGACAACGGTGCTTATTATCACCAATGATATTCCTAATTGTGGTGGACTGGATTATGCGTCAGACAGTGGGAAACGAGAAGACAGGGATATCCTGGACCGACGTGAACAATCTAGAAGACCTGGATTTCGCGCGTGAATGATTTATGTTTGATTTCACACAAAATCAACGGGAGAGATTTGAAAGAGGTTACTTCATTCACTTATCTAGGCAGCATTGTCTCAACTACAGAAGGAACGGACGAGGATGTCAAATCGAGAATCGGGAAGGCGAGAAACACATTCATCAATCTGAAACCAATCTGGAAATCTTCGTCACTCAGCCTGCATTAACAACAAAATTCGGATTTTCAATACAAACGTCAAGTCGGTCAGTTCTTCTATACGTACTGATCAGAAACTTGGCGGGTCACAAAGAATATTTCCAACAGCCTGTTGCAGACCTGTATCAACAACTGTCTTTGCTCTATACTGAAGATCAGATGGCCTGAAAGAATCACCAACAAGAAACTATGTGAACAAACAAATCAAGAACCAATCACCCAACAAATATGCAGGAGAAAGTGGAGATGGATTGGACACTCGCTGAGGGGGCCGCTGGGTGACATCGCGCGTCATGCCATCGCTCGAGTGGAAACCGAAAGGGAAGCGGCGAGTGAGACGTCCAAGGGTGACATGGAGGAGATCGTGTGAAGAGGAATTGAAAGAGTATGGACTAACATGGATGCAGGTGAAAAGTACAGCAGAACACGGAAGCAAGTGGCGACGTGCATTTGAAGCCCTATGTTCCACTAGGAACCCAAGGGAACTATAATAATACTAATAATGTACCCAGCTGAAGAGGACAACAGAAAATAGAAGAAAGTGAGCATGACTTCTTGAAGCTTTATTTTCCACTCATAAACCAAGGGAATAATAATAATAATAAGCACTTATCCTTATCTTGTTGACTTTGTTAATATTCAAATCGATGTATGTGTTGTGTATTATTTCACTTACAGGATGCTTTGGGTAATCGCCATCATATGCTTTGCATATGCTCCACTAACATTATTTCTCAGAAAACAGTCGAAAAGGGACTTGCCATTAGAGGTAAGATATTGTTCATATGAACATAATAAGTAAAACAGTCAGTCATATCTTATCGATCCAATGTTAACCAATCAAATCAACTGTTCAGAAATATAGCAAAAATATTCATTCAAACATCTAGAAAACACAAAATAATTGAGCAAAGAATATTCTTTTAGATAAATTCCTCTTCCGGCTCTACAATTATTTATATATATGTTTATATACATAGAATATTCTAGAATAGTAGTCAATATCAATATTAGTGTTTTTTAAATCATATCGATTTGTTAAGTATGATCACAATGGAATTACAGGTCATTAAAGATGCATAAATTACAATAATAAGAAAGATTTAGTAGCGAATAGAATATCAACTAAAATTAGGAAACTGAGGATCATTCAAACCAGATGGCCAAGGTAAGGACAGTGTCTGAACTAACTTCTTTTGGACACATAAATTAGGCTTATTAATTTGGATCCTCACAGCCAGCCTCAGCAATATTTAGTAAACGAACTCTTAAGGCGAAGTTAAGATTTGTTGGTATGCGGTAAATGACTTTGAAGGCTGCCTCTATGACATCAATCTTGTGTTCTGTATCCACAAGATGAAGTAGAATAGAGCTACGGATATATTTTGTTTGTCCTTTACTTAACCAACCATTAAGGGTGATGTTCAGAAATCCGACGAGAAACACGCCTGATTGTGCGGCCTATGTGACTGGCTCACTCCACAGGAGAAGTTGAATTGACAGATACACATGGAAGACGCGAAATTAGGCAGTTTGTCTTTTACTCCCGAACGCAAAAGAGGAGTGGTTTTAAAGATACATTGTAATTCGGCAGCAGGGAATGTTCTTTCTACCGCATTTCTAAGGCGCTGTGTTAGTATCTCACTGGTGTTATCCAGTGTCTGGATACAAACACAAGATTGACGTTAATCATGCTTTCAGGGTAATTTACCGCATACCTACGGATCTCAATTTTGACTTAAGAGTTCGACTTCTAAATATTGCTGAGGCTGGCTGTTGAGATCCATATTAAGAAGCCTAACTTATGCATCCAAAAGAAGTCAGTTCAGACATTATCATTACCTTGGTCATCTAGGTTCGAATGATCCTCAACATTTTGTAGAAATTTCCTTAATTTTAATTGATATTCTATTTGCTATTATACCTTTATTATTATTATTATTATTATTATAATTTAAGCATCTTTAATGAACTGTAATTCCATCGTGATCTTACTTTACAAATCGATATTATTTAAAAAACATACTAATATTGTTATTGACTACTATTCTAGAATATTCTATGTATATAAACATATTTATATAAAATTGTAGAGTCAGAAGAGGAATTTATTGAAAAGGATATTCTTTGCTCAATTATTTTGTGTTCAGAAATAGTCAGTGTAAGCTGTTAGCTAACATGAATCGAAGATAAACTCATGAATTTTATGTTATATACACCTAATTTTTCCAAATCATATTGGAAAGGATCAATCGATGGGAAGATCTAAAATTGAATTAAATAATAATTTGAATAAGGCGATTAGAAGACAAATTTCGCAAGATCATAGTTTCAATCCATAGTTTCTTTACAACCGCTTTACAACTGACATGGTTCACAATAATAACAAAATGAAAGGCATGACAATTACTCAGTTAGAACAAGACATGTAAGCGAATAGTATTGTTGTTTTCAATTAGATCTTCTTCAGGCTTTACTTTAATTTACATAGATTTATATATATAAAGTTTTTAACCAATGACGGTGATTTTATGGATCAAATAATAATAATAATGTTTTGGACTAAATTAATAACGATGATTATAATGGTAACAAAATATTGATAATACGGTTTATGCATGTGGCGATTAGAATAACAAAGGTAGTAATATGTGTATATGTAGACAATTCAATGAATAAATAATTTAGGTCAAATCTTAAAAGTTATGTAATACTAAAGGTAGTTGAAATGGACAGATAATCAGAGTTTAAATAAATATCATGAAAATATGAAGGAGATGGAAAATAAGAAAGGGTGGGAGGGTTTTGAATAGAATTCACCTAGGCCAGTCAAGGGAGAGACAAAGGTAGAACAAACTTCCTTTGTTGTCTGCAAAGACTACGATTGTTCTCTGGAATTCCCATAGCTTCGACTAGGTGTAAAAGACGGGTTCTGATTCCGTTCGAAAGGTTCGACGGAATGCGATAGATAACTTGGTGACCGCTATCAATCAAATGAGCCAAAATAGAACTTCATATGGATTTTATTTGACCTTTTCCGAACCAAGAAGGAAGATGCTCATTAATGCGTTCGTTAAGCTGTCTAGTCGTTCGCCCAATATAGCTCTCTCCATAGGACCAACTAAATTTATAGATACACATCGAAGTGGCACAGCTAGGTAGCTTGCCTTTCTCTTGGGCAATCAAAATTGGTCAGCAGCTGGAAAATGACAAAAAAGAGTGATGGCAGTATAAGTCCGTTTTATCGCTGTCGATAATCTCAGATGTAAGACTTCGCTAGCCAAGTTCCCATTAAATTGCAGTTTCATGAACACTTATTTCTTTTTAACTGTTGTCAGTTTTTCTTTATTGTACCTGGTATTCATGTATCTCCTTACAAATCTACTTGGATAACCCATTTGAACCAGTGTATTTTGGATGTATCCTAGCTCATTTTCTAGAGAGTCATCTGTACAGATACGTCTTGCTCTATTCGTGAGGCATCTGACCAAATTGATTTTGTATCGGATTGGTACAAAACTGAGGAAATGTGTCCTACAGATGTAGGTTTTCTATAGACATCTCTCTTGAGTGAACCATTCTCTCTTCTGCTCATTTGGGCGTCAAGGAAATGTAGTCTACTCAGTTATGTAAAACAAAAGTACATACTCATGATCATTCATATTTAAATAGGTCAAGTAACCAGTTCATGGTAGGCGAAGGTTGAAGTCTATTGTTTTTTGTACATATACTTTAGGATGTATGTCATTAATCCCCAAAATGCTTCCATCACCTTCAATAACCAACCTTGAATTAGAGTTGAGTGGTGTAATAATTATGAAACAGTCATTAATATCGATTTTGTGACGAGACATTAATAAGTGCTTTGCAATGGATAATTCTGCATTTCTATTCAGGTTAGGTACATTAGGGTTTTCTGTGTGTCTGAATAACTATTTTGGAACATGTCCTCTCCAACGACATTTAGAACATTCTATTGGTTCTACGTATATAGGTTTCTCTGCAACTGCAGGTGAACTTGTAGATACAGTTTGAAGTAGAGTCTACAGAATTCCGTCCTTTAATCTTAGGTATAGGGATCGGAAATAATCGAGATGTGATGGAAGGGATGTGCAATTATAGGATTAGTAGGCAAATCGAATAAAACAAAAACGTTACGTAATATTGTGTGGAATTTGATAACATAGAATTTAACGTTGCATCTTATGAAATGTGACTTATCATCCGTACCCAAGAAAATACTGTACATGTGCTTAGAATTCAAAGGTGACTTAGCTTCCGATATCATGAAAAGAAGGATATCACAGTCCCTGAAAAGTACATTTCCTGCTGTATCTCTGAGAATAGCCTACACCAGTCGACCATTACTGTTCAATAACTTGAAGGACAAGATCCAGCTGTTGACCAACTCTATGTGTGTTTATCAATTCACCTGCTCGTGTGGAGCTAAGTATATCGGTCATTCGACTCGAATTTCGTCCAAGAGGGTGCAAGAACACTACCCTGCATGGTTACGAAGAGGTGGAAATGGAGCAATAAGAAGCGTGATCATTGAACATCTGGTCGACAATGATCACCCTATCTCTATAGCCTCCGCCTCTAAAGTCATCTACAAGGCAAAAAGTAATTTACTGAAATCCCTACGTATCCGACTCAACTGTATTACTGAAACTTTGGCTATCGAAACAGAGAAGCCAGATCTCTGTCTACAGAAAAGGTTCTCTTCCTTTATTACTTCAATTGTTACTATTAATATTCTCACTTTGAACTGTCCACGGTATTATTTCACTTGTTCCACTTGTCATTCTAAATCAATTCCCTTATGCAACATTAAATTCTATGCTATTAAATTTCACACAATATTGCGTAACGTTTTTATTTTATTCGATTTGTTTACTAAACTTATAATTGCACACCCGTTTCAAGTTCTACCCATCCTATGAATTATTCTATATATGACATTAATTTGCTTTGGCACTTGACATTCAACTATGATTATAATCACGGAAGGAGATGCAGCGTAGAATGTGTTTGATAATTTACCGAAGTCTCTGAGCTAGCTGTCAGCTGCATAATTTGATCGTCGTTGAATGTTAGGTTAATAAAGATAGCTTCTTTTGGTACAGAAGTTGACTTTTCAAGATGTGGTCTAATTAAAGGAATTTCTAGTAGTTCCATTAAGGCAGTGAGAAATATAATTGTTATTCCAGTGTTGGTTTGTAGGGATTTGATTGGTTACAGGATTTCATCATGAACTGACATTGGTTAGAGAGCCGCTGGAAAACCGAGTGGCAGTACTGGACAGCTGTTTCGTCCTACTTTGGGACTCTTCATCAGCACTCACCACTGGGGTTTGAACCCAGAACCTTCTGGTTTTAAGACTAGCGAACTCGTAGACCACTAAGCCACTGGGCCCCAATCCAATGGCCCATGAATTCTAATTTCTGCCATTGGATTGGGTCCCAGTGACTTAATGGTCTACGAGCTCGCTGACCTGGTAACCAGAAGGTCCTGGGTTCGAACCCCGGTGGTGCGTGCTGATGAAGAGTCCCAAACTAGGCTGACGAAACAGTCGTCCAGTACTCCCACTCGGTTTTCCAATGGCTCTCTAACCAATGTCAGCTCATGATGAAATCCTGTAAATATAATTGTCTTTTAACTTTCAACTCACCTCGATTGAGAGGTATTCTGTGTTGAACATCAGAAAAGAATTCTACACCTAATATTTCATTCAATCTATTCAATCTAGATTCTCGCGTGTCAATCGGACGACAGTGAATCAGTTACCACGGCGGAGAAACAGTAACTTCTTATTTCCGAGGAAATACACCTAATCCAGACTGCTGACTGCATCCTTCCGCAGCACAAATAATTTTTTCAATAATGACATCAAGTATGGTAAGTAATTTTTTAAACTAACCAACCTACTGAGAGACTAAAGCAAGATACTTTTTACATATTAGAGTGACTTATTTAGAGACAGTCTCGTCATCTATTGGGTTTGTGAATACACAAACTACTAACAGTGGTTAGATAATTGGAGACAGTCAACATGAAGTCTTGGAACTAGGTTTTGTGATTGCTGGCACTCATCATCAAGGCAAATCTGCAGTCATAAAGAATCCAAAGTCTCTTTTGATATTCGAAGCAGGATCACCTAGTCGGAGACGTTACCACGAATCTGGAAACTAGTTAGCGACTACAGTCATGCGTTTAACTGACTGGCAGGACTAACTTGGTTGATCGAATTCACTCTGCACCAAACGAAGGATTAGACTCATAACATTAGCTACGAATTAGTAGCCTTACTGCTTCAGAGGATGTTTGGGAAATTGAGAGCCAAAAGGTTGTTATTCGATTAGTCAGGTCGAACAGTGGAATTCAGGAAGTGCGTATCATCATCTGAATATGCCTACATCCTTTGTGAGTGTTGGTGTTCCCAGAATGGACTCGAACTTAGCACCGAAAGCTTTACTCATTAGACTGTCGAAATGCTTCAGTCACCTCAGGTTCCACAGGTATTCATTGTTACATTTTTTCTCAAATTCTTTTCAATTCCCCGTTCATCAACTCCACTGAACTGAAATATACTGTCTCCAGTGTCACGTCAGCTCACAGTATACATGGTCATAAAAAGAAATGGTTAATACACAGGGGGAATTCTAGAAATCCACAAATGATCTTGTCTTGGATGATTATAGGCAAGGGTAAACAACAGACACCAAAGTCAAATGACCTTGAGACAACCAATCAGATGGTTCATCATTCATGATGGATGCTGTTCATTGATCTTTGTAGCAAGTTTCACACAGATTTGGTTTTTGACTTCTGTCAAGGAAAGTAGATTGATAGGGAGGTCTAAAACCTGCATATATGTAGAGATAATAACGCTACGAAAGTACTGCCAGGCTATTGACGGCTACACATTCAGGTGCAACCACTGTTATATGAGGAAGTCTGTACGAGTTCGTAAGTCGTAAATTATGGTGATTTTTTAGATACTTTCTTCTCCAAATCGAAACTGTCCCTTAGTAAAATATTGCGTATATGCCACAACTGGCTAGTAAAGCGACCAGTATCTGCTACAGCTGCAGAAATAGAGAATAGTGAAATTTCTAAAGTACAGTGCTATCAATGTGTGTGTAAGACTTGGACACTGCGGTAG